AACAGCTTGACTTCACCCCCAAATGCACACTCTTCCATTGTCTCCTGAGACAGATGGATGCTGGCACCTGACATAATGGCAGAAAGGGAAAACTCTTTCTCTATGAAGGGGTTTTAAGTTTCATGTACAATAGCATGGAACATAGGCTGATATACTTGGGAAAACCATTGGTTCACTGACAGAATCATCAGATCCTATTGTGCATAATAGGATGATAACAGTGAAAGCTTTCATAACAGTGAGAGCTGGATCATAAAGAAGGCTGATTGCCGAAGAATTGATGCTTTTGAATTATGGTGCTGGAGGAGACTCTTGAGAGTCCCATGGACTGCAAGAAGATCAAACCTATCCATTCTTAAGGAAATCAGCCCTGAGTGCTCACTGGAAGGACAGATCCTGAAGCTGAGGCTCCAATACTTTGACCACCTCATGAGAAGACTCCCTGGAAAAGTCCCTGATGTTGGGAAAGATGGAGGGCACAAGAAGAAGGGGACGACAGAGGACGAGATGGTTGGATAGTGTTCTCGAAGCTACCAGCATGAGTTTGACCAAACTGCGGGAGGCAGTGGAAGACAGGAGTGCCTGGCGTGCTCTGGTCCATGGGGTCACGAAGAGTCGGACACGACTAAATGACTAAACAACAACAACAACAACATTGTTCATAATTTTAAGGCGGACTTGAGTTGGCGGCTGGGAGCGAGACATCAACAAGGGAGTAGAATAGCTACCACCACGTCAAGCCAAGCAGGGCTGAACAGGAATGTGGTGGGGGAGGAAGTGGGGCTCTTCCTTTGTCAGGGATGTTGTGAGCCCCTCCCTTGCATTTTCAGGTAACTTAAAAAATGAGCCATGCCAGGTATTTGAGGGAGGCTTGCCAAATAGCAAGGGAGGGGGAGGGAGGGCTAATGCTTGCATTCTTTGTTTAATAATGGAGTTTGTATTAAGAAATTTATATCCCACCCTTTGCCAAAAGGGAAGAGCATGCTTTACAACATAAACCACGGTAAGAACCTTAAAACACAGAAAAATTATTGGCAGATTGGTGCAATGTGACTTTAACAAAACAGCATGCCAGGAACACCTGTGATAAGAATTGCCTAGGGGGTCAGTCTTGAACGACCACAAGAGGTCAGAAACATGACTTTGTGTCTCAGTACTCAACAGCCACCCACCTGCGGAATTCATGTTCACCTAGAGAAAACGTGAGAGCTTTAATGCAGAAATTCTTTACAGTTGCTGGTGGTTTTAGACAAGCGTTCTTTGGCTGCAGTCCTCAAACCACTTCCTTTGAGGGTCATCCTTCTGTGAAAGCCAGTGGGGCTACTTTTGAGCAAATGGTGTGATGGTTTGCAGCCTTCGTTTGCTCTTCATGTAAGAGTGGGGAAACCTTTTTTCCCCCCCCTCCTGTCCGAGTTTATCCATCGCAAACTTTTGATGTTCAGGTTGTTTTGCCCCCAGTGACCAGATGGCTGTCCCTCAAAAAAATGCAGGATAATTTCCCTCTCCCTGTTTGATAGCACCACCACCGACTGCTCTTTTTTTTTGCGGGGTGGGCAACTTAGTGTTCCCATTAATTCAAGACAGGAAGCCCTCTGGAGAAGTGATATAAACAGCTTAGCTGCTTGGGTCATGCTTCCTAATCGCTTTGCAGCTGGACGCTTGAACGTGTGGGGAAAGGGGGGGCTGCGCTTCTCCCCGGGGAAGGACCTCGCTGATTGAAGTTAGCCTGAACGGAGGGGGAGGAACCCTGTGCGAAAGAAGGTGGAAAGGAAATGCTTGAGCTGCACAGTCAGATCAGACTCTCTGAGCCAGCGGGGTTGAGGGAGGGACGTATTTTACTACAATTGAATTCCAGGGTCTCTTTCAACCCGTTTCCTGACTTCTCGCCCCGTAGGTTAATTCCAAGACTCTCCATGGCAGGGGGAAGGGAGCAGAGAGTTGATCATGCCTGAAATAACCGGTTAGTGGCAGGGTAAGATTGGATTTTGTTTTTATTTTCGCAGCGGAGAAGATCTCTGGGCTTCGCTGTGCAGCTGAAACCCCTTCTCTCTTTCTGTTTCGCTTTGGATGCTGTCACCCCCGTTCGTCCCACCAACTGGCAACCTGAGAAAATAATGTTAGATTCACCTGCCTGGCTTAACCTGAAGGCTCTCATTGTTTGGCTGGCTACCCCTTGCGTTTCTGTGGGTTTTGAGTTTTGGTGAGGTTTTCTGTGCATATTTTTTGGGGAGGTCCGATTTGGGCAGCTTTGACAGCTGAGCACATTGCAACTGACAGAGCAGCATCAGGAATGCACGGAAGACTATTCGTGCTCCCTTAGCCAGAGGCAGCGAAGAGGAGGGCAGTAAGCTCTCCCAGCCTTCTGGAAACTCGTGTAACGGAACTGCTCCAGAAGGGTTTGCTGCTGCTTTCTGTTTTTTTAGGGTAAACAAGCCCTGTCTTTTTTTTGGAGGGGGAGTGCTTCTTGGGCAGAGACAGACACAGCAGTAGCAGCCGCAGCCGCTGGATTGCCCTCCCTCTTCGGGTGTTCAAGTGGCCTCTCGTCTTGGGTGCCAGCAAGCGATTAAACTAATTAACAGACTCATGGGATTGCTAAACCACCCGCTCGTGGATTAACCCAGAGAGAGAGAGGCCAGCTGGAATTCCAGGGAAGACGAGGCTATCACGGAAGAGGAGGAGGAGGAGGAAAACCCATGAAGGGGATTTAGAAGGAAAAGAGGTATGTGCAACATACCGTAAGAATTGCAAATAAACGGGCGTGTGTTTGGGTCTGCTCCAGAAAAGGGCTTGGTTGGATGTATCCAGAGGCTGAAAAGTTATGTAGCAAAAAAGCCAGTTCAAACGCCAGCTGTGCTTTCCTCTGTTTTCTTTTTAAAGGTGCTGATGAAACATAATTTTTGCTTTATGGCTTGAAGTATATCTTGTGAAAGCTCCCATTTGCAGCTGGTTATTTTTAAATCGGGCTCTTCAGAAGGTTGCTCGGGTTAACTTTCCTTGCCACATAATGCTGCAGGTATAACAAACCTGCTGCTGCTGCTGCTTATCCTTTGTGGTTTTCCCTCCTGTTGCGACTTCTGTTTGCAATCAGAATTAATCTGTCTTGATTAAATCTGGAAGGTATATTAGAACTCCGACTGCATTCAGCAGCGGCAAGGTGAAAAGTCAGCAGAGACAGTGCAACAAGCCGATAACAGCCGCGGCTTAACAGCGTATGGGTGGGGGAGAGTGTGGGGAGGAAACCCAGCTAATCTAGGACTAACACCAATTTATCGGTACTTTGATTTCCAGTGTGGTTTTGCTTTTGGAGCTTTCAGCTCCAATGCAAAACTGGATGGGGTTCTGGGCAAAACATTGTTTACGATTTCGCCTGAGATTAGGTTCTGGCCCGAGGCAAACAGGGTTCTGTCCAAAACCACTAAACACTTCATCGGGAGGAAAATGTTTCAGAATCAAAATCAGCAAAATGTTAAGGCATCCTGTGTGCCAGCATGAAAAGTTTTTTGGTTTTTTTTTTAAATCTAGTCCCAAAATACTTCTCTATAGCAAGGAGAAATAGGAAAGTTTTTTTTAATATAGGAAAAGGATACTTTGTGCTGAATTGTAAGCAGATTGCTATAATCAAATGTGTATTGCAAGTTGCACTCTGTGTGTGAGATGTCATATGTACACAAACACACACACAATAGATGGGGTAAAAGTTCTTGTAGGGAGGTCTTTTTTAACCAGACTTTTGATTTGTGTGGAGTTTGCAGGTTATACATTTTAAGGGATCACCTTGTATTTACGGAGAATAGATGCGGTTAAAATAAACTTTTTTTTTAATGCACATGCAAAGTATCTGCTTAGTACTGCATTTTGGCAGGGTCTTAGGACTGTGAGAGGGGGCGGGTGGGCGGGAAAGATTGCAAATGATACTAATAACTAAAATATGGCTTTGAAATAAAAGGCAGCTGGGACTGTTAAATATTAGATTGCTCAACCGCGTCTTTCCCATGGCAGCAGCTTTTGGCAAATGACTTTCCACACTCAGAGCCTTTATTTTTGGAATGGTCTTGGCAAAGACAAATGCCCAAATTATATCGGTGTGCGTGCCGTTCTTGTGAATGAATGAATAAGTAAACACATTGCAAGAAGACCAATTAGCATCTATCTCTGTTGTGCACCGGTCAATAGTATCTCATCAAATATGTATTAATAAAGGATTCCCTTTTTGAAAGGACATTAAAAGACAGAGAATGATGGCCTGAGACCTAGTAGGTGGTATTATTCTACTCTCTCTGTTGGCACTTTCTATCCAATCCCCTGCCCCATTCCTCTTTATCTTTCAAGTGCACACCCTTGTTGCACATGGCAGAACTCCATCTTTGACTCCCTGCTCAGCAAAGAGCAGATCTACATGTCTTTTGGGGTCTTTAGGGTCTCCTCGCAAAATTCACATGAATACTTAAAGTGCCTTAAAGGTAAAGGGACCCCTGACCATTAGTCGTGGACGACTCTGGGGTTGCGGCGCTCATCTCGCTTTATTGGCCGAGCGAGCCGGCATACAGCTTCCGGGTCATGTGGCCAGCATGACTAAGCCGCTTCTGGCGAAACCAGAGCAGCGCACAGAAGCACCTTTTACCTTCCCGCCGGAGCGGTACCTATTTATCTACTTGCACTTTGACGTGCTTTCGAACGGCTAGGTTGGCAGGAGCAGGGACCGAGCAACGGGAGCTCACCCCGTCACGGGGATTCGAACCGCCGACCTTCTGATCGGTAAGCCCTAGGCTCTCTGATTTAACCCATGGCACCACCCGCCTTACGCAGAGTTAAATAACTTCCCCATTTATTCCCAGTAACATTTTATTGTTTATTTCCCACCTTCCTTCCACCATGGAACTCAAGGTAGCAGACATTGGGTTCCCCAGGTGATTTCGCCCATATTTCCTGCTTGGCTTCAGCCAGGTGGCTTGAATTGCATTCCTTTAGCAGCTCTCCAAGGTGTGGCCAGCAGAGGTCTACCTGGGACGGCAGGGACTGAGCCTGGGACCTTGTGCATGAGAAACACATGCTCTGCCACTGAGCTAGCCCCCTTCTTGTGTGCTTAATTAATGCCATCCATGTGTGGGGTTGATGACCCCATATTCATCAGCATTCAGTTGCATTTGTAACATGTCTCTTCGGCTGAACATGATGTGGGGCAGGAATGGGGAACCTGTGTCCCACCAGATGTCGTTAGGCCTGCGACTCCCATCAGCCGGGGATGATGGGAGCTGAAGTCCAGCAACATATGGAGAGTCACATATTCCTCACCCACAATGTGGGGAATTGTAGAAGTGTTCTTAGCCTATTGTCAAAGAGCAAGGTGGCAGTAAATCACACCATTCAAAGTTGGAGTTAACTCTTGATTACCAAAAACAAGCAATAAATCTCAACATCATAGCTTGAAATAAGACTTAGTTGTGTGTCCTTCTCTCTGTGTTTGTGTTTTTCTTAAAGTGCTGAGGTCTGGTATATTGAGCAGGTGCTGTGAGCCAGGGAATAATTTTCAGTAATCCTGTTTCTGCCATGCGCTCCCTGTATGGCTTTAATTGTGGTTTCAATTAGTTTTGAAATGCTCCATTATGCCCAGCAAGACAAACTGTGTTAAAACGCCACTGTGCTTTCCCACAGTTTGGCTGTGTACTTGCCATCTTATTTTGCAGGTTCGAAATATAAATTCACCACGTTTTTGCACCTTGTGAACAAAAACTGCAAGATAACTTTTAACATTTCTTGGTCTCGTCTGATTTCCAGGACTGGTTCACATGCAGCAGAGAAGAGAGCCTCTTGCTCTTGGGGGTGGGGCAAATCTCAGCAGTGCTTTGCGTGAAGAAGGTTCAATCGCTGGCATTTCTATGTAGGGCTGGATGAGACCCCTGCCTGATACTCTGAAGAGCCACTGCCAGTCAGTGTAGAGACAATTCTGTGCTAGAAGGACTTGGTGTAAGGCATCTTCCTATGCTTCTATGCCAGCATTGAACACTGCTTTCCCCGCTGAGCTATAGCCTTACCCATTCATCAATGTACACCAGTTCATTTCATTGGTTACACAACACTTAGATCACAGGCAGCTGACTTCAAGCATTGTTTTACAAGTTCTCCGAGTGGTGTGTTTGATCTGTGATATCTCACTCTCACATGCAGACATTGTGATAGATCAGTATATTGTGATGGTGACATATCATGAAACTGAAAACCAGATATCGCCCACCCCTACTGTTCACCTCTACATAGTTCCATCCTTATTTTACACATCACAATATATTGGTATACCACAATGTTTAGCTGGTGACATATTGCCGTTTTGGAAACCAGATATCACCCAGCCCTAGTTGCAGGTCTTATTCCACTCTGGCAGAAGCACTCAAGAAGGGTGCAAAGCAGGGTTGGTGACAGGTGTGGACTGGGAGGGTGTGTGGCCTGGGGAGAGTCTGAAACCCAGACAGAGTGGCCCAGAGGGCCATAATTGAGCACACTAAGATTCTCCATTCCTGGCCTAAAGGACTTGGATGTCCTAGTATCCTTTGCTGGGAGAGACAACTTCTTAAGACAACCAGGCACAGGGCCTTCTCAGTAGTGGCACCCACCCTGTGGAATGCTCTCCCATCAGATGTCAAGGAGACGAGTAACTATATAACCTTGAGAAGACATCTGAAGACAGACCTGTACAGGGAAGCTGTTTAAGGTTTAAGGTTTTATTATGTTTTTATATATGTATGTTGAAAGCTGCACAGAGTGGCTGGGGCAACCCAGTCAGATGGGCGTGGCCGGGATACAAAATAACAACAACAACAATAATAATAATATCTGGAAATATTAGGTGGGGAAGAAAAAAGTTCCCCATCCCCAAAATAGGCAGTACTGAGCTGGATGGACCAATAGTTTGACTTGGTCTAAGGTCGCTTCCCATGTTCCCATGACTCAGGCTTGCAGATAGCCACTCGCCTATGGCAAGTAGTGACTTTTAAAGACAAGGTTGAAGGGGAAGCGTTTGTAGATTGAAAGTTCTGCTTCTTTTCCTTCTGACCATTGATGTGCCCCAAAATCAGCTCAATGGACCCCAAGTAGCACAAATTAATGCAACAGAGATCTGATGACAAGAGCTGTTGGTTTTCTGCACCTTTTAACTCCCGTCTCGCAGTGACAAACCGAAGAACGCAGTGCAGGCAGTGAACCCCGCCTTGCGCGTCTGTTGGTAGCAAATTGAGTTAAATTGGCTGGTCCGGGGACATCGTTGCTCTCCTTCCTCCCTTGGAGCTGTGTTGAGCTTGGCAGTAAGTGGAGTGGAAGTTAAGCACTAATCATCCATCTTTAATGATGGGCAATTTGTGCTAGATGAAATTTGTGCTTTGCTTAGGCTCTGTCTGGCTGATAAGGGAGGGGGGCAAATTAAAGACCCTCTATCACCCAGTGCCAGGGTGACAGTTATTGCGCAGAAATGTGGAAGGAGTTCTGCCTTCTCAGTATATGAATGAAACAGAGAACCTCAGGAATTACTGGCAGGCCAACTCCCAATGAGTTGCTTTTCTTACGCATGCCATGGATCCGGCAGGAGAAAGCCGCACACTCTCCCAAGATCCTTCTGTGCTCTTTTAGACATTCTTCTGTGCTCTTTTAGTACAAATATTTATTTAGAAAGTTACAACTTCCTGGTTTCAGTGCCATCGGCCAGTGACCCTGAGATAAGTGTGATTAAGTGAGCTGAAACGATTTTCGCCATTGGTTCAGAGGTGGGCTAAATTCCTTTGGAATCTTGCCCTTTAAACCGCGGCTTCATTAGAGCTGCTTCAGAGTTCCTTCTGATATGGTCACCAGGAATCAAACATCTCAGAAATGATACCATGGAAAAGGACACTCAAATTGATAAAATACAGTCAAATTAATTGTCAGGGCAGGGGGTAGGAGCCCTTTCCATATCAGGAAAGGGATTTTTAGTTTATAAAAAAGATGTCTGGATAAATAAGACAGCAAGAGTCATTCACTGCCGAGTTGATATATCAAGGCTACACAAAAGGAGGTTTGGAGTTCCTAATATTATTTGGTATTATTATTATATACAGGTGAAACTCGGAAAATTAGAATATTGTGGAAAAGTTCATTTATTTCAGTAATTCAACTTAAAAGATGAAACTAATATATGAGATAGATATGTCAAGCCTTTATTTGTTATAATTGTGATGATCATGGCGTACAGCTGATGAAAACCCCAAATTAACAATCTCAGAAAATTAGAATATTAAATGAAATCAGCAAAACAAGGACTGCAAATAGAGCAATATTGGACCTCTGAGAAGTCGAAGCATACATATGCACTCAGTTTGGGCCCCTTTTGCATCAATTACTGCCTCAGTGTGGCGTGACATGGATGCTATCAGACTGGGGACTGGGAGTGGCCGCCAGGACCAAATAACACCGGTCCTGAGAGATCTGCATTGGCTCCCAGTACGTTTCTGAACACAATTCAAAGTGTTAGTGCTGACATTTAAAGCCTTAAATGGCCTCGGTCCAGTATACCTGAAGGAGCGTCTCCAGCCCCATCGTTCAGCCCGGACACTGAGATCCAGTGCCGAGGGCCTTCTGGCAGTTCCCTCATTGCAAGAAGTGAGGTTACAGGGAACCAGACAGAGGGCCTTCTCGGTAGTGGCACCCACCCTGTGGAATGCCCTCCCTTCAGATGTGAAGGAAATAAGCAGCTATCCTATTTTTAAAAGACATCTGAAGGCAGCCCTGTTTAGGGAAGTTTTTAATATTTAATGCTGTATTGTTTTTTTAACACTCAATTGGGAGCTGCCCAGAGTGGCTGGGGAAATAATAATAATAATAATAATAATAATAATAATTATTATTATTATTATTTGTAGGAAGTAAATAGATCCTGTTTGTGTGTGTCTATAGTAAGTACTCGCAGCCGCATACGAAGATCCTGCTTTTTCAATTGGATGTATTTTGGCTGGGAAACATTCCTGAGCTAACTCCCAGTGGTCTGTAGCCAGCAACTTCAAAGTGCCTTGGAAAATGTCCTATGAAAATCAGTAAAAGGAAAAGGGAGTGGGGGGAATTTGTTAAAGGTAATAAAAAGACCGCCCTGCCTCTTTTTCTAAACTCAATTTCCTACAAATAAGATAGAGAAGCCCCCAAGAGCACCTTAAAACCCAGCCGATTCAATCCTTCAGAATGGTTAGTTATTCCAAAAAGCTGCTGGGGTAGGAAGCTGTGAAACTCTTTACCCTGCTCTGAAGTCAGAAGTCTGGGGCAGCCAATGCGTTATCTCAAGCTATTCTCGGTGGGGTGACTTCAAAAGAAGCCCCCATATGCATTCTTACTGGGTGTTGCGGTTGTTTTCCAGAAGCAGCTGTTAGATGCTCCAAATGTTGCTTCACAGCTGCAAATTCAATTTTCTCTAGTAAGATCATGCAAGCTTTAAAGAAGTCCAACTGCTTTTAAAGGACAGCTATGGACTGCAGTTGAGTAAGATCTGGGCAGGGAGAAATTCAGTGGCAATTTTACACTGCCTCCTTCCAGAATAGGTACAGCAGATCACTATTCCTAGATTCCAGCACTTAAAATTTCTGCAGACGACCCATATGTTGAGCATCTATCCTGATTCACTTGCACAAAGTCTTATCCAGTCTTTATTTTGTGTTTATTCTGAAATGTTTGTGGAAAGGTTATACAACAATGAGCAGTTGTCCTGATTTGCTTGCTTATTCGTCTTCCTGTTTCACCCCACACTTTTCAATGCATTTCCCTATCACTTTCCTAACTGCAAAAAGTCAGTTTATTAATGGATTGTTGCAATAGAACAGCAGAGCACTTTAATCCACTTTAATTGCACCAATCTAATTTCTAGGTATGCCCTGGCTCCCTCCTTGAGACTGAGGATTATGTGACCAGGTGTGTGATCCCCTTTGCCTCTGCTCTTGGAAAAGTAGACATCAAAGGAGCTGGTTTTTGGCTCAGGCTTTTGCATCACCTGCTAGCTTTCTGTCTGTGCAGAGCTTTCTTTTTTTGCCATCCCAGCATGCAGTTCTATCTTTCCCAATGCAGGGCAA